TGAACAGTATTTGATTTAAAGTAAACAAAAATGTGACCGTCTTAATTAAAGTACGATGAGTTAAATAATTTGAAAAATGTTGAACATTAATAGTGATATTTTAGATAGCAACACAAGTTTTAAGGAAATATGCAACATTTGTGATTTCAGTATTACTGTGACATACTTACTGAACATAATAATAGTTTTTGTGTCAAAATGACTACAATTTAATATATAACTTATAGAAAATCGAAGTCAATTTAACAGAGAGTAGTCAGTCATTATTTATTCTATCTTTTCACAAAATTGAATAAGTTAGGATATGGGAAATATATAAAAGATAATTAACACAGCCCTTGCCACCGTTAACTGATAAAAAAATCAGGTAGTATAATACAGAGAAAGGGAGAGTTTTTGGGTTTTAATTTAAAAATCTGGAGCTTTTTTAAACATTTATTTATAATTTCATACAAATATAAGGGCCAGGACAATTCTATTATTATTTTGCATAAATGTTTTGCAGGGTTATTGTCGCGAATGTGCGTCGTCACATCATAGTTCTTTTCCTTCCTGCTCACAGTTCAATCAAGTGTCTTCTTAGAGATTCATGCGTCATTCAGTTTGCCTGAAAAATACTTTATCGGACATCCGATATATATATATATGTACAAGGTGATCATAAAAAGACTATTTTGATATATGAGCCGCTAGCTATCATACCATTCACAGAAACTGAAAAAAATTTTTGTTTCAGATATTTTGAGGTACATGCTTAAGAATCATATGAATAACAACAATTAAACTCTAATAGTTACAGTTACAGTGACAAAATTTCGAAAATTTTAAATGGCAACATCTACTTTTTTCCCCCCACCCCCCTTGCCTTTCTACCTAATAGCTAGAAAGGCAAGGGCCCTTCTTCCGTCGGTGGGCTGCTTATGCACGGGGCCCTTTCAGTTCCTCCCTTGCCTTTCTAACTATTAGGTATAAAGGGCCCCGTGCATGAACAGCCCACCGACGGAAAAAGGGAGAGGACAGTGTCTTCCAAGAAGGCTTTTAGAAAGAAGACTTTTAAAAAGACTTTAGACTTTCTAATCTTCTCGTATATAAGAAATGCTACAGGTGGTTTTTCCCTTATCTAAAACGCATAATTTTCTACAATACATGCAAAACGTATAGATTCCAAAGTATGTGAACGTGATAATTTTCCTTTTTAACATCTATTTCATTTTTACTAAAAAGATAACTCATTATATTGTTGTTTCCTACTAAACTTATAATAATCTACTGTATTATTATACTGTACTAAAACAGAAATTATATATATATATAATTTCTGTTTTGGATATTGTGCTGCTTGCAGTTTTTAAATTAGGAAATAATACTTTACTTTCGTTTCTCAATAGTTTTTACATCAGTATTAAAAAATGCATAAAATCCCACAAAATATTGATAAAATTCTCTGCCAACTTGTTTCATTTAATATGTGTATTTTTGCAGAGTGTGAGTCCTGGAATGGTGACAACAGAATTCCTCGGCAACTTTCTAAAGGACGATTCCACTCGTAAAGCATCCGATTTCTACGACTCCATTGAAACTCTCCAACCTAAGGACATTGCCGACAGCGTTCTCTACATTCTGAGTGTACCTCCACATGTTGAAGTGCACGATATAATCATTCGACCCTATGGTCAAACAATGTAAAATAAAACGCTAAACATTTTGACCGAATCAACAATTCACGGTATTTTGTTTAATAACAGATTTGTAAATTTTATTGTGTTTTTCTTTCTTCTTTTTTTTTGTGTTTTTGTTTTTGTTATTTTATTGTGTTTTTGTTTCTTTAGTTATTCGGAATTGATCATCCGTAAAACTCTTTTATTTTTTCATCAATTAAAAAGATATAGTGTAAACATACTTCTTCTTAAGCATTAGTGAAAGCGTCCCCTGTGGCGTTAAGGAGAAATGGTCAGTTGGTCTACAGACTCTCGTCCGGTGATGAAGAGTATTTCATGCATCCCGCGCGTAGCCGAGTATCGGAGTTTCGGCTTAGAGGTGAAATCCTTCCACGAATCTATAATTATATGACTTTAAATATGTTAAATATTGTCTGTCGTTAATTGTACTTGTGTGGTGTTTGTGCGTGTGTAAATAAAATCGTAAGCTCTTAAACCTGTGCTTCCAGTATTTCAACCCAACAATACCCAATTACAATCTTGTTGCTCAACCTGCGCACTGCAATAGAAATAATTAAAATTTTTGAAAGACCTCAACATAAAAAGAACCTTAAAATATTTCAATACCTACAGCATTGCTTATAAAGATAAAATGCTTACAAGTTTTTTAAAATTAAAAAAAAAAAAAAAAAGTGTAATCATAAATAAAATAATCACAAAAAATTTCGTATAAGATTACTTATACTAGTATCGAATTTGTTTACTTTACATTAATCAAATGTGGCCTGTTTTACATAGGTTATAATTATGAAATATATTTTCACTCACAACTTGCCATATTTAATAAAATCTTAAGTTAAAATATCTAATTGTTTTTATCTGATATTTATTCATATAATTAACATTCATTTTAATAATTAGGATATATCGAATTTCTAATTATCTATGCTTACCTGATCCAGTGATCAGCAAATATCATTAGAGATTAGCAAATGAATTATTATAAATGCTAGCAAAAGTCTATACTAATAAATATTAAAGAAACAGTTAAGTAAAAATATTTTTATATCATTAAATGTTATAAAAGCATAGTAGAATAACCATTGAGATTGAGAGGACAAAAAAGCTGTCTCATGAAAGGAAGCGAATCATGATTCGAAAAATAAACTGTGAATTCCTTAAAAATATTTGGATTAGCAGCATAACTGTGAATTTTATTTAAAATATTTATTCTTTTTTACTGCATGTTTTGATCTTCGAGATGTAGGACAATAAAAAACAAATGTATATAGAAAAAATTTTATTTTACCATTTTATACGTAAGTTTTTTTTCTTTCTAATGCAGCTGGAAAACACTTAAACAGCTTGGTCTTGGATGCCTTAAGGTAAGCGCTGCACAGACGTTACTCACTTTGCATTATCCAGGGGGTGCGTGTAATTTGAAGATTAGCCACGGACGCGGAGTAACAACGCCCCCGCAACGCTCTACGATCCTATTAGACCGGGCCCTACGGTTTAAAGTGGATTCCGAACCACTACAAACATCCATGACACCGGGGGGACTCGAACCCGAAACCTGTGGTACCGAACGCCAGAGCGCTAGCCATTCAGCCATCAGGCCCCTTTTATACGTAAGTTATTATTAGGAAAAAATATTAAAATATTAAAGACATTCTAATAAAGGTTATCTCTCTCTATTATCAAATAAATCTTTTTTTTAATCTTATATTGGTTTAACAGTTTGTTGTTTAAAGATACATTATGTCATTATAATTAATAATTATGTCATATATTATGTCATTATTACTGATAATTATGCCATTCATTATGTCATTATTGTCCTTATTTAAAGATACATTATGCCATATATTATTTAAACACACATGCACACACAAAAGACATTTAAAAACAACAAAAATTTTTTATAGTCGTTGTTTGATTTTTTATGGCCATGACCGATAAATGTTTTGTATTGATTCGTGTGTTTTGATGAACTCATGTCTGTTCAAATGCATACCCTAAACGCTGTTTCTTTGGTTAGTCTTAATCTTCTGATGTCTGAATAACTGCCTATGCCAAACATTACTTTGCTATTGAACCTGCATGTTTACTTGTTACTAAGTCGTAAATTCCAATACACCTTCAGTCATTAATAATCCAGTCATCGTGTGGAAAATTGGAATGTGGCAAAATCAGACGAATTTAATCGCATCATTGTAATAGGGTGAAAAAAAATTTCGCCATTTTTTTACTGCAAATATAAATAGTTTTAATTTGTAATAATTAAACTTTTAAATTACATAACATCAAAAGAAAAATCACGAGAAACATTTTATTATAAACATTAAATTTTCTGTTAAAATTGCAGTGATCCGTACATGTCTGAATAGCACCTTTAATAAATAATCGACTCTTCTGATTCCTTTTTACCTTTGTCTTGATTAGCTAGTAGAACAGTATTAAATTGAAATTTTATCGAATATTAATAGCATGAAGATATGTACTTATAAAAGTTTTTCAATTAAAAATAACGTGACCTTTTTGAACCCCTCTCCAAACACCATGCAGGAAGCAATAATATCCTGTGCCTTTCTGTGCCAATAGTTCCTATTACATGGTCGTGTCAGTTGTACCTATTACACTCTTCCGTTCCCCTGCTCCATTTTTTTGGAAACCATCCTGCGATAAGTATTTCGAAAATGTATGTACTGGCAAATCGATTGTATCATTTCCTTATGTAATAAAAGCAATAAATAAACGAAGGAAAATAAATGATTTTTGAAAAGGAGATAATTTCTGATTACGAAATTAGTCGATCGAATGGTCTTCTTCATTTTTGTTATCTTCCTTTCTTAAAAGTTTTCTGATTTCTAATTTATTAAAAAAATTTCTAAATTTCCATTCGCAGAATTTTTCTTAAATGAAAGTAATTTAGGTTTAATTTATATATATGTGGTATTTATTCATCTGCTAATCCAATTAGCAGATGGCGTTCTTGAATGGTATGTGTCGACGGAGAGTTTTTCCTTTGTGTGGGTGTAAAGAACTTTGAGCTTTGACCCCAGGAGAAGTGAACAGGACCTCTGAGAGCTGTGGACGAATGTGAATAGCTACGTTATGGAAATTGCAACAAATGCCTTTGTAACCCAGTATAATAAATTATTGTAAATATAGCTGCAAATAATAGTGTGTAATTAAAAACGGCTAAAAGGGAAGAATTTCTGCATAATTTTTTTTTAAACCCTAGACACCGACCACAACCCTATGTATATACATATATATATTCTCATACCCGATAAACAATTTTTAGTAATTTCTTTATCTTTTTACAATACTAAACCCAACGGCCGTACCATGCTGAATATACCGGTTCTCGTTAGATCACCGAAGTGAAGCATCATTGGGCGTGGTCAGTACTTTCACCACCTGGAAGCGGTTTTTGGGACCTGAATGGCCGAGTGTCCAGCGCTCTGGCGCTCGGTGCCACAGGTTTCGGGTTCGAAGGCGGTGCCATGGATGTTTGTCGGTTTGGAATCCACTTTAATCCGTAGGTCCCGGTCTTCTATGACTGTAAGAGCGTCACGGAGCAAAAGGAAGCTTTCCTACGGAACTTTTTAAACCACAACAGAAGCTGCTTCCCAACCCTTCAATCATGAGTCCATATGGGCGCGTGGGCATACCAGCCAAACAATTTTTAGAAACAACAACAACAACAATACTAAACAGCAAGTTTTCTTTGTGTAAGGAAAAAGCAATTAAGCATATGAAAATTAGAAATATTAATAAAAAGAAATTGGATGGATATTAAGTTTTGTGAAATAGTTCTGATGACTTAATTAGGAATAAATAATTCAATTTTCAAATTTTAAAAAAAAAGTAGAAACATATGTAAAGATATGAAGGCAATATGCATTTAATTTAACACATCAATGACAGCATATCATACATACAATATAAACATTTACAGGTGATGAGATTATTCCACATTCATTCAGCACAAATCTTTGTGGGAACACCGCAATTTTTAGTGTTATGTTAAGTAGCTTGTTCATAAGGTCTTAGTATGACATCATGCACTTCAACGTGCGGAGGTGCACTCAGTATATGGATGACACTGTCAGCAATGTCTTCGGGTTGAAGAGCTTTCATGGCACCATATAAATCGGATGGTTTGCGGATAGGATCGTTCTTCAAATAGGTGCTCAATATTTCTGTCTGTACTATTCCGGGGCTTACACTCTGAAAAATAAAACCACATTTTAATCGAAAAAGAGAACTGAACACTAGAACAGCATGTCCCAATCGTTTTTTTTTACTCTCCACCATTTGATGAAGCTTTTCATTTATGAATATCCTCTTCAGCTTCTCAGTCAACTCATCTTTTTTGTAAAAAGTTTGTTTTTGTTAATGAAATAATGTTCTTACGTCACTTAAAAACTAATCTAACAACTTAAATTGATGACACGTACAGGATTTTATTTTTTGATTTACAATTATTTATACAAATATATTAACAATTATTTAAAAAATATTAACAATTATTTTAAATTTATTAACAATTATTTTACAATATATGGACAATTATTTTCCGATATTGAGAAATTATTTTCCAATTTATTAAGTCTAGCATCAAAATGAATAACATTTCAATCATACAATCTTATGCTGAATATTTCAAACAATTATTCAACTTAATAGGCAAATTTTCAAATGTGGAAGAGAAGAAGAATTAAGAATTTCGATACGATCTGTGAGTATGGAATTGAATATTTTAACAGATTCAAAGGCAAACAGCTTCTAAACAAACAACAGCAAACACTAATAGCTTGTACAGTTGTTTATTTGATTTTATTTAATTTAAAACAATTTTGCTTAATAATAATGCTATTATAATTATACATTGTAAAGTAGAAAGCAAATATATCACTACGTTTGGCTATGTTGAGGTGAGAGATTTATTACAATATTTTAAATCACATTTTCAGCAAATTATCCAACGAATAAACATGTATAATACTCTAAGGTAAATTTAAAATATTGTCTTTTATTGCTAAAAATACACTTACGGCTATCCTAATGTGACTTTTGAGAGCCTTGAGTTCGTTTCTGAGGCCATCTGTGAGGGCACGCACCATGAATTTGCTGGCACAATAGAAGTGGAGTCCATGCTGTCCAACTGTCCCGATCCGGTGTCCTCCGATACTGAAATAGAAATGTGCACTAAAATTAGAACAGCTATAGATAAAAGGCGAGAAGAAATAATTCTATTCAACATTGGTTTGGAAGCACTATCTTCGACCTACGCAAATGGATCTCTTCCGGTTTTGTTGCTAAATTTGGGTCTTAATTGTTACATCCTTCTTCGTTCTATTATGAAATAAACATGGCTGTTCCTCAACATCAAAGGACAGCATTTAACAACAACCGAACTTCTTTTCCGGGGATGTGTTAGAAATTATGTAATGTGAAGAAATGTGTCACGATATGAAATTAAGAACCACATTGGATTTCCGTTTTAAATGTGGTCTAATGTAAATTAATGACAAAAAGTGTAAATGGTAATCTAATTCATTGCTCTGTTATGATGTACGTAACAAACACGCAGGTTCGAAGCAACTGTAGCGTCCATTGAAAATAGGAATCAGATAGTGGTGTAGTGTAAAGCATCTTTATAGACAGTAAGGGAACAATGAATGGATTAATAATTTCAGAATTGCCAAATAGGAATGAAGACGATATAGGATGCCCTTTAAGCTCCAAGGAAGTAAAAAAAATTTAATAATCTCGGAATATCGATGATTGTTCATCTTAAAGATTACACGTTCATTTTTATTTATTTAGGTGACGAAGTAAAAGAATTGAGACCTAAATAATTATGCAATGTAAATCAAAACCTTTTACTCCTATGGAATAAGCTGTTGTTGAAGTAAAATTGCAGACTTTTTTTATTTACCTTCAAAATTATATATAATATATATAACAATAATAACAATAATGTATAATATATATAATAATACATAACATAGAATAATAAAAACAACTAAAAAAGTCAAATGATTTCTATAAAAACTTATGCCTAGAATTCGTTGGCTCCTCATACAGTTCATTCTCTGTTTGCTTTATTTGTGTACATATCTTAAATCACGCAAGTGGTGAAGATAAATAAAAATTCACCACTTAACAAATTAAAAATACTTATTGAAAATTAGTATAAGAGCTTATGCCAAATAATTTTAATTCACGTTATTTAAAATTCTATAGGTTAATTTGGAATTTCATTTTGGTTATATCTGGAATTTCAATTTTATTTAAACATTAAATATGGTGACATTGAAAATTCTCATTTGAGAAGTAATTATGACGACAAATTTTTTTAATCTCCGGTAGTGCTAATAGCTAACCAGTAGAGCAATACAATTTGGATCTTTACACTGCACCACTGCACAGTTTTCCAATAAAATCTGTTACTTTCGAGTCCAAAACATCAATTGAGCTGAACTTCAGGCCAATTAATACGGCGGCTGGAATAGATTCTTTAACATGGGATTTGCATAGCGTCACCCATTTTCTACAGGCAGAAGGGAATAGCGCTACAGAAATTTAAACGAGAATGAGCTGCGTTCATGGATGGAATTGTTTTGATCCATAACAATTTACGACTGCATACTACTCTGTTAATCAAACAGCTTCTTACTATTCTTTAATTGGAAATGTTTGATTACCAAACGTACAGCCCACGTCTGACAATGAATGATTTTCATCTGAGAACTGGGTAAAAGTATGTCGATAACGAAGAGCTTCAAGACGCCATGGTGAATCTGTCTCAATATCATAGAAGAAGGTACTGAAAAAATCGTTCACCGGTATGACAAATGTCTCAATGCTCGCGGTGACTGTGTATTAGCAATGATTATACTTGACTTGGTAACAAAACCATTTTGTTATTCATGTTTGTCTGTATTTATAATTTCTCATCGGAGGTTGAAAACAAATAGCTCTCGTAATTCTAGCAATTTATAGCATTGATTTATTAGAATTTTTTTTAACAAATACGAAATAACAGCATAGTTAAAAATTCATTCTTTTTTAATGCATAACTTGTTCTGACAAACACAGAAGAAGATAGAAGAAAATATAAAGATCTATTTTTGATCATTTTGGGAAAAATTACCACTACAGCATACTACTTTACACTGCGCACACAAATGATCACAACTCAAATATTACTGACCTACTAATATGGATAATTTGTCCGTCGTCAATTCCTTTCTCTTGCATTAACTTGACAGCCAACTGAGTGCAAATACATAATGCCATTACATTTACCTAAAATAATAATAATAATAATATATATTTTTGGATATAGTTTTATGAAGCATAAAATTAAAAATTGTCGTTGTAGTAATAGAACATATAATAAAAAAAGTTCTTATTAGGACTTGGATTTTTTTCTTCAACGTTATCTTAACCTTATTAACAGACTATTATTAATGCTTTTCAACAAAATTTAAAAGAAAGGATTCACTTTTAACTTATGATTATTTTATATGTCACGCAACACCTTTGAATGGATAATTTTTTTTCACGAACAATTTTGTTTCAGAGGAAATTTTTTAAAACTGAAATCGAAAATATGCATTATTAGGACTATGATTCAATAAGTTTTATCCCGCTTTATTTATTTTTCATCATAAAAAATTCAAATATTAATTTAGACTGTGGACTGAAATCAGATTTAGATTATAATCATAACTATAATTTTCTAATTATCATTATCATAAGATCACTAGACGTTAAATTACTGTTATTAACAAAAAAATGTCTTCACTTAAAATAAAACAATAACGGAAATTAAATGTAAGCTGTAATAAGCAATAAATAACACAGCTCCTCGACTAAACTTTGGATATTGAAGGACATGTCTACTCAACATGGACAAATCAAATGTCTTAAAAACAACTTAAACTCTTGATAGAATGATTGTCGTGAGAATTACGATATCTTGAATAGACTATAGTTTCTTCCACTTCTCCACTGGCGCAAAAGCCCCATGGGGAGGGGGTGAAGGCCGCCTGCCTACTAGCAGATTTCGAGGCAGAAGATGTTTACTCTTTACGGGGAAGGGGGTTGTCAGCTTTATGCTCTACACCAGGAGTCTCCAAACTTTACAGCCTTAGGGCCAAATTGTTTACTCCAGTAAGTACCAAGGGCCAAAACCATTTTAATTTTTCTGCTATTATCTATAATTTCCAGTTAGTTGTTATGCTTAAGTTAAATTTTCTGCGTATTATGCTTGTCATTAAGCTTTACCTAGCAAGTCAATAAAACCGAGCTATTATTATTTTGTATTTTTTTTATCCAACTTATTACAGCAACAATAAGCTATTCGCTGTCGCGGGCCGGATTGATGGCACTGACGGGCCGGATTCGGC